AGCCGGGCAGTTATTTTGCATATTATATTCATTTAATTGTGTAATCCCACCTCGATCCGTAGGGAGATGCAGGAAATATAAATAAAAATATTATTATATTATTAAAAAGACAACTTAAAGGCAACAGCAACAAGAACAAGGCAGTGAATCCGTTCCTGGAGCTTAAGGTGAGTAAGGGGCTGTCCAAGGTCTGAACCTATTTTGGGACTAAGGTTTCTCCCCATGGAAAGCTCCTTTAAGGTTCAGATAGAAACCTGGAGCAGATTCTCTGCCCTACTGCCATCAGAGTCACACACCATCAGTGATTAGCACACACTTATCATTCTCCCAATAGGTGCAATACTTGGAGGACTTCCCTGTTGGCAGTTTCCATAGCCAAGTGCCATGTGTGCTGAAGGAAGCAAAGAAGGAACTGGTACCATAGTAGAGAGGAGAGAATACTGGCCACAGAAACATAGAATCATAGAGTTGGAAGAGACCCCAAGGGCCATCCAGTCCAACCCCAATCTGCCATGCGGGAACTCCCAATCAAAGCATCCCTGACAGATGGCCATCCAGCCTCTGCTTAAAGACCTCCAAAGAAGGAGACTCCACTACTCTCCATTGAGGGAGTGTGTTGCACTGTTGAACAGCTCTCACTGTCAAAAAGTTCCTCCTAATATTGAGGTGGAATCTCTTTTCCTGCAGCTTGCATCCATTGTACTGGGTCTTATTCTCTGGAGCAGCAGAAAAAAGCTTGCTCCATCCTCACTATGACATCCCTTCAAATATTTAAACAGAACTATCATATCCCCTCTTAGCCATCTCTTCTCCAGGCTAAACATCCCCAGCTCCCTAAGTCGTTCCTCATAGGGCTTGGTTTCCAGACCCTTCACCATTTTAGTTGCCCTCCTTTGGACACGCTCCAGTTTTTCCACATCCTTTTTGAATTGTGGTGCCCAGAACTGGACACAGTATTCCAGGTGGGGCCTGACCAAAGCAGTGGCATACCTAGTATATTTGACACTGGTGCAGATCATTTTTAATACCTCTCTTTTTAATACCTATATTTGACACTGGTGCAGATCATTTTTATTTATTTATTGATATTGTGATTTGCCCCACCTCAATTGTCTGAGGGACAGCAACCCGGCCCCCGGCTCAAAAAGGTTTCCTACCCCTGACCTTTGCAGACTGCCAGAAATAGTGCAGATTGAGTCCACTTTAACTGCCCTGACTCAGTGCTAGGGAATCATGGGAACTGTAGTTTATTGTGGCACCAGAGCTCTCTGACAGAGAAGGCTCAATGTCTCAGAAAAAAAAATACAATTCCCATGATTCCCTAGCACTGATCCAGGGCAGTTAAAGTGGACTCAATTTGCACTATTTCTAGCAGTCTGCAAAGGCCCCTAATGCCCAGAATGGCTTCTCTCTTTCTCTCTCTCTCTCTCACACACACAGACACACAGACACACACTCCAACATGGAGGCCACTAAGCCAACACTGAATAGAAGCTGAGGGTAATACTTGGCTTTAACCATAGAGTTGGGGTCTCTCACATCTGCCCCAGTGCCTTCCAGCTGATGATGTTGCTGTTTTGTTTTGTTTTTTGCTGGCATGGTTAATGTGGACACCGTTGACAGATTTGTGCTTAAAACCAAAATGATTGCATGGCCTATTCTCCACAGAGAGAGCCCAGGAATATTAAACCAAAGACCCATCTAGTCTTCCATCCTGTTTCCAACCGGATTCCCGTGAATGGGACATGAATGCAACAGCACCCTGCTGCTCATGTTTCCTAGCAACCTGTATTCGGAAGCCTCTGATGCAAGAGATAACATCTAGACATCATGATTAGAACTCATTGATCTCTGTATCCTTTGCAAAATTGTCTAAAGCCATCTAAGCCAGCAGCCATCAATATACCTTGTGTGGCAGAGAATTCCATTATTGAACTGCGCTCTGTGAGAAGATGTTCTCTATTTTGTCTGCGCTGGAACCACTCTGTTAGAAAGTTTCACTGCATAGACCTTTGTTCGATTAGAGAGGAAAGTGAACTTCATGCTTTGCACATAGGAATTTCCAGGTTAAATCCCCAGAAACTCCAGGTAGGTCTCAGAAGAAACCCATCAGACATCTGGTCTGGAAATACCAACCAGTCTTCCCCAGCCTGTTACTTTCTACATGTGTTGAACTGTAACACCCATCATGCTCACCTGGTCAGTGGTTATATTGAGAAAGGCTGGTGGAATAGGTAGCCCATGCACCAAAATGCCAATGATACTCAACTGTCTTCTCTTCTTTCCATCTAGGGGAAATCATACCCATTATCACCAAAAGCAAGGGTGAGAAAATTCTGCCCGAATTCCCCTTTTATGATCCATGAAGCCCTGCACCAGCCCCCCCAAAGGACCCAGAATCCCCAGTTTTTGTTTTTGTTTTAAAACGGATCCAATTTTCAGGCAATTTTGGCTCCCAAACCATGCTGAATGCGTGCAAAATGAAATGCATGAAACATGCAAAAATATCCTCTACCCACTCTCACAAGCATCCCATACTACCCCAAAATACATTTTTTTTTCTTTGCACTCTGTCTCAAAATGACACCAGAAAGTAAGGTTCCCAGAGTGAAAACTGGAGAGGGCACCTGTACCTTCAATAGTTGTGTAAGGGGAAATTTCAGTGGGTGTTGCTTCTTACTTGGTTGTGTGACAAGCAGCTCTTGCTGAAATACCCTTATTTACCCAACCATTAAAGGTACTGGAGTCCTCTCCAGTTTTTACCCTGGCAGCCCTAACAGCGAGAGACGTGATGTGCCCTCCTGACACCATTTTGAGAGGGGAAATGAAGTATTTGGGTTTGCTTGATGATGGAGGGGAAATGCAACTCATGGAGGGGTCTGAGGCGGAGGATTCCCCCCTTTAGGTTTGTTGAGGGGGTTTTTTGGTGGGTTTTTTTGAACTATATGGCTGTGTTCTGGAAGAGTTTATTCCTGACGTTTTGCCAGCATCTGTGGCTGGCATCTTCAGAGAATGCTGGTATGGAAAAAAGTGGGTATATTGGGTGACCCCAGTTTGGGAGGACTGATTGGCATGTTAATCTGTGTATTGATCCACCCTGAGGCCTTGCCATTCAACAACAGAACAACACACAGATTAACATGTAAATCACTCCTCTCAACCTAGGGTCACACAATATATATACACCCCACTCACTTCCATGCCAGCATTCTCTGAAGATGCCAGCGACAGATGCTGGCAAAATGTCAGGAATAAAATCTTCCAGAACACTTTAAAAAAACCACATAGCCCGAAAAACCACACACAAAAAAAACCTATGCATGCTGGCCATGAAAGCCTTCAATGTCATATTCCCCCCCCCCCCCCACTTTGCTCATCACGGAAAAACACCTGACCACATGCACCTTGCCATCTAGATTTGTCCCAGTTCTTCTTGTGGTTTTGCTCTTGCAGCAAGAATGCTAGTGAAAAGTACTGTTTATTTTTTTAAAGCAAGCCAAATGCTTTGTTGACAAGCAGAATGATGCTCTGATAAGCCTCCCTAAAATATGATTCTGTAAACAAGATGCATTTATGATGAGTGCATGCTTTGTTTAAAGGAAAGTTGGATATTTTCGCTGATGTGGCAGCAAAAAAATAAAAATAAAAAATCAGGTAACAGTAGTTTGGGAGGTGTCAGTGCAGATTCCTGACTCCATGTATGTACAATTGGCTCTCCACATTTTCAGCTTTTGACTTTTGCAGATGTGATTATTTGGAATTTTGAGTAATACATTCTCTCTA